TCATAGGGGATTATGTGCCGATTGAGGAGATGATGAAACCCAACAGCAAGACGCCATGGGGAAATCGTTTCACTTGGGTGCATATATCCGTACCCAAGTTAACTCAACTCTCAAATGCTCTGGACTTTATCTGGAACACACAAAAAATAATAAAGAAAAAGAGAAGCTCTTTAGCTGCTTATTTCTCGAGCAGGCTGTTGGAGATTCTGGACAAATTTGGAAGCCATGAGGTTAGTACTGTAGAGGAGACTATATGCTAGACCACTGGTCTGCACGTCAAGACGTTGGCAATGCTAGCTTGTCCCACTTAAGAAAAAATTGGAAGCTCAAATTTAAATATGTATTTTTAATTTTATTTTAACATATCTCAGGCATCCAGCAGATACATTCATCATACAGTGAAGAACTCGAGCATGGTAATTTCAAATGTGATTGGACCTGTGGAAAAAATGTCCCTGGCTAATCATCCAATTAAAGGTTTATACTTTTTGATGGGTGGTATACCTCAGGTATGTCACACATTGTTATGAATCATTAAATCAATCTAACTCTAGATAATTTTTCAAAATACAAACATTGACCATATATTTATTTCTTCTTAGAAATAAGCGGTTAAAAAATTGTAAGGAAATATTCTAGCTGCAGACAACTTTAGTGTCGAAAAACTTATGGTTCTGTCTGAAATACAATCCTAGTAAAACTTAAGGAAATGTTCTAGACGCCCTTTCGCGCAGGCGAGAGGTTTTTCCATATGGAATTTATCAACTAATGTAACATGACTGGCTTGTGGATTTGCAGGGCTTTCAGATAACCATTGTTAGTTACATGGGAATGGTGAGGCTAGCCTTCAAAATGGAAACAGGTCTCATAGATCCACAGAAGTTCAAGTCATGCATGCAAAATGCCTTGGAAATGATACTCAAAGACTCCGATCTGATGCGGAACAATTAAGATGCTGCATATGTCGAAGTTCCACCACTTTTTATAATAAAAGACTTTATTTTCCAGCATTTTTGCTTTTAAAAAAATGTCTTAAAAATTATGCCAATTAATTTTGCTAGAATAAGAGTGATACTAAAAAGAGGAAAAGGAAGATGGAGACATCACTTTAGCTTTCTTTATGCTCAATTTATATGCCCCTAATTTCTTTATGCTCACTTTAGCTTTCTAATTAAATTACGCTCTATGTCAACTTCATTGTTTAATTTTATGTTAAATTGGTGACGTGGCAAGTGGGATGCTTACTTTTATGCAGAAAAAAAAAGGGGTTCTTGAAAAATAATATTTATAAAACCGAAAAATTATTCTCTCTCTCCTCTTTGCGTTTTTATGAAATCTTATCTTGGAGAAGGATAATGTAGAGCATTCTAAAAAATAAAGCATTCTAAAGGGACATATCTTCCAAGAAGCTAATATTGACACCTGCTTCCTTCCTCGTCCCTATAATACGACAAAATAGATCGCACAACATAATTTTGAAGTCTCTTAAATCATGGAGCTTTGTTGTTGTTCTTTACAACGGATCAATTTATTCTCAATATTAATTATCTTCATCCTGTTTCCAACTACAACATAATACTCTTCATATCCTTCAATGATCTATGTATAAGTTTTTTTTTACCATGCATAAAGTAGAGCCCTGCATCATAATTACAAATTACAACACATAAATTACAATACAAAAATGTAATTTAAGTCGATATCTATAAATACAAGAAGGCATTTATAGTGATACAAATACAAGCCTATTTAGGAAATAAATACAATAAGAAAAAAGGAAATAAATACAATCCCGGTCAAGCCGGTACTCCTATAATTACAATCAATTATAATATAGGTAATAATTATAATTCGTGATTCACATCAACACTCACTACAAGAAAAACAAGTATTAGTGGCCAACCACTTGGTCATAGAAAATACCGTTTTTGGTCACTGAATGCAATTAATGTCCAAATATTGGTGGTCACTGGGTGGTCACTAGACGCTCATCACAAATTCTATTTAGTGACCATTCTCAAGTATTGGTCACTACAACACAAAGAATTAGTGACTATTAATGTTTGGTCACTAATAAAAAAGCGATTAGTGACCGCAACTTTGATCACTAAAGGGCTTACAATTTGGTCACCAAAACATGCATTTTGGTCACTAAAACTGGGTCACGTGCTCACATTAGTGACCTACTTTCTTGGTCACTAATGTATTTCAAAAAATTGGTAATTAATTAGGTTTACCTCACCAGGTTCTTTATTTATTGTATTTACAATATGAAATCACAATTAATTTCTTTTAAACAGTGCTGTAGATAAAATTTATAGTTTTACATAATTCATTGCATTCAAAAGCAATCCATATATCTAACATTCTTCCAACAAATTCACAAGATGTCTCAAAAAACAAAATGCTAGATATTTAAGTTCAACCTAAATATCAATTGATTCCCAAGAACAAAGAACATAAGATTCATCACTAGTAGATTGTCCTATGTCCTCTATTATGTTAGAAATTTATCCATCAGACTTGCATTAAACAAAGAATAATTATTTACAAAAAGATAATTTCAAATGAAAAACAAGATTTTTAGACTACCAACAAAGAAAACAAAAAAATGAAGGAAAAAACAAAACAGCAAAAAGAAAAACAAACTAATAATAATGGATCATCATCTTAACAAATAGAAAGAGAGAACCATTAAACAAAAAGAAAAATTAATGAGTGAGACAAAGAGAGAAAGATAGAGCAGCTGAAAGCTAAATTTGAAAATAAAGTCAAGAAAAAAATAGAAGAATAAAAAAATACCTGGAAACTTCAACCATGCTGATATAATAGAAGAAACTTATCCATCAGACCAACACCAAACAAAGAATAATTATTTACAAAAATATTTACACTACTTGGAATGGGAACTGAAAACATGTGGAAAAACCAAGCCAAAACTGATAAAAAAACCCTCACGCATGATAACTGCACGTGCGCTGGCAATTTCCAACTGTCTGTTTGTCAATTGCATTCTGGTTTGCAATTTCCAACTGTTTGTTTTTCAATTGTTGTTTTGCAATTTTCAACTGTCGGTTTATCAATTGCATTCTTTCCTTTGCATCTTAGATGAGCCAATTTTCACAACAAATTCACCATACACTCATACACTACGAATCAATTTAGAAATATCTTTATCTGTCTTGTATTGGGGCATAGTGATATGGGTGTTTGATTAGTCAAACTACAACGTATTGTGTTGTCATTTCTCATTCATGATAATACATTTGTAATATCCCATTCAAATGTATGGTGTTGTCATTCTGAAATTGGGGTGATACACTTCTACCCCCAGGTGATAATTGGGAGGTTCACTTCCACCAAATGGCATGTCCTTGGGCAGCATTACACTTAAGAACTTTTTCTTGAAATCAATTCTGGCCTCTTCTTCTTCTGGCTCTTTCTCAAACAGTTTGTACCCAGGCTAAAACCAGGGGTAGGTTCTCCTGAGCACCACTTGCCTCTGAGCAGTAGATATCTTGGTGTAGTGCCTAAAGAACATCAAGTGTTCTTCAATGGAGCGCTTGGGCACTTTTGCTGACATCAACGAACACTACTACAAAAAAGGAAAAACAGACGGGAATTCACCGTCGTGTATTCTGTTTTCAAATGGTCGTGGAATCCACCGACATCTTTTCCATAACCAAACCACGACGGTGAATAACCGTCGTTGTTAAAACAAAAAACGTCATCAAAAAATAAAAACCGACGTCTTTGTGCTACAAAAAGACATAAAAAAACAGTCGAGGATGAGAATAGACGACCAACTCCAACAAAAAAAACGTCGTTAAAAAGGAAACAGATGACATATATTAACAGAACATGGCCGCAAGATAAACATACAACCGACGTCTTTACAATAATAATAGACGACGTTATTGACACCTACTACGTCACAACATTTCCCACAACCGTCGTAAAATAAATTTTCCACTTCGATTTTTCTATGAATTATGACGTGGAAATAGATGTCAGGGTCATTACTTACGACGCATGTATTTATAGAGACGACGTTGAATTGGATAAATAACGTCGGTTTCAAATAAATGAGAGCCGTATTACAGAATTTATACGTCATATTTTGAAAATAAACGACGTGGAAAAAATGATGGGGTCATTAATTACGACACAGTAATTTATAAGGACGACGTTGTCGTCTATATACAACGTCGTTACCATGAAAAAGACCGTCGTGTTTAATAATTTATACTTCTTCATTTAAAAAATTGACGTCGTCTAATGCATATATCTTAACGTCGACAAGTTTAATGGACTTCAAATACCGTTGTAAAATAAATTTTCCACTTCGATTTTTCTATGAATTATGACGTGGAAATAGATGTCAGGGTCATTACTTACGACGCATGTATTTATAGAGACGACGTTGAATTGGATAAATAACGTCGGTTTCAAATAAATGAGAGCCGTATTACAGAATTTATACGTCATATTTTGAAAATAAACGACGTGGAAAAAATGATGGGGTCATTAATTACGACACAGTAATTTATGAGGACGACGTTGTCGTTTATATACAACGTCGGTACCATGAAAAAGACCGTCGTGTTTAATAATTTATACGTCTTCATTAAAAAAATTAACGTCGTCTAATTCATAAATCTTAACGTCGACAAATTTAATGGATTTCAAATACCGTCGTGAATTCATCCTTTTCCACTTCGTTTATGAAAGAACATGCGACGTGGTAAATTCATGACGACGTTGTCTTTTGTAACGTTCAGGTTAAAGTTCTCGTCTTTTAGACGTCGGTGTTATGGGATTGGAGACGTGTTATGTTGAATTACATGGCGGTTCTTTATCAAAACCGTCGTGTTTGTAATCTGGAACCAGTAATTTTTGTTCTGATTGTTTTGTGGCCAAAACCTGTATAATGAAAATGAAGAAATCACATTACAATATATTACAAAATTAATGTCATACACTGCCAATTACATAAAGCATCATTCAACCCATATATCTTCACACCCATCTCGAATATTTTGACTCCCTAACTCAACCACCACTTCATCAAATGTGTCAACATTTGGCATTCCCCTAGTAAATGGCTCACACTCAATTCTCACATCACCTAAGACATCATCACCAATAACATCATTATATTCTCTATTAGGCATTGATAACACTACCGACCAACCACGATGCATCGGGTCGTCAACAAAAAATACTTGTTTGACTTGAGAAGCCAAAACAAATTGGTCATTCCTATGTCCAATTTTACTCAAATCTACAAGGGTAAATCCAAGTTCGTCCACTACAAGACCAGAAATATTATCAATCCAATCACACCTAAAGACTGGGATTGTAAACTTTTGGTAGTCAAGGTCCCAAATTTCTTGAATGACACCATAGAAACCCATATTTGAGAGAATTGGGTTTTTATTCTTGGCACTAGCAACTTGCATAGTATGTGCAAGTAAATAAACTCCACTATTTTGAGTTGTCTGCACATCATCTTGTGCCTTGATGTTGAATTTAATACCTTTAATGAGATAGCTCCTATATAATGGCACTGCTAGCCACCTTAAATTTTCTGATACGCCATGATTGTCCTCATTAAGTTCACTTTGAACCTGCAAATTAATCATAACTTAATTCAATCTAACATAGAAAGAAGAAAATTAAAAGTTCAATATGTTATTCAATAACATATACCTTGAAACGTAGCCATTGAATGAAAGTGCTATTGTGCTTATCCTGCAGCCACTTTGTTCTCTTTCTAAATTTTGGATAAGCGGTCTGGATGTGGATCATATGTTGCCTACATGACACACAAAATTCAAGTATTACGGTCCCAAACATATAAGATAAACATAAGAAATAATTTAAAATGGAAACTTAAAGAATAAAACTCATACGTACTGGATATAAGGTAGGACTTCCTCCGTATTCTCCAAGACATATAGATGTGCTTGGTTCAACAGGTCCCGATCAACTACGCTCACTGTGCAACCTGATAATGGCTTTGAAACTCCCATCTTTTGGCTTGAAGGCACTCCAACTGTACTAACATCAGATAAATGCTCGGTACAAAACTCTACAGCTTCTTCAGCTATATACCGCTCAGCAATGCAACCTTCGGGACGAGTACGATTCTGAACATACCCCTTTAGCACTTTCATATATCTTTCAAACGGATACATCCATCTAAAATATACTGGCCCACACAGACGAACTTCTCTGACAAGATGTACTACTAGATGAACCAAGGCAATGCTCCTGAGCCAAGGCAATGCTCTCTGCTATCACCTCGACAGGGATTTCCTCCTACAAACAGGCAGAAGTCATGATAGAAGGAACAAAAAGGCAGCAGAAACTAATACTACTAAAGAAACAAGACTCACCTCTTCTTCCACTGTCTTGGCCTTCTCCTGAGGCCCCTCTCCTACTTCTTCCAGCTCTTCCAGCTCCTTCTCTCAGCTCTTCATCTGTGTCAGAAGTAGTAGTGGGAACTGCTCCAGTCCCCTCCGGGGCCACATATTCTTCTACAATCCTCTTTCTAAGTCTTTTTGACTTAGTAGGGGGAGGAGAGGGACTTCCAGCTGCAATGAATAGAAAATAAGCCTTAAGAATTATGGCAGAACAAAATTATGAAGAACTCAAAAACTGTCAAAATATACCTGGAGTCACAAGTTGGGCAGTTTCTTTTCTCTTTCTTCTAACAGAAGAAGTGGCCTCAACATGAGTCTGTTCTGCCTGATCTTCTTCTTCTTCTCCATCCCCGGAAGGCAGCTCCAGATCCCCAGCAGCAATAACAGAGTTGACTGTGCAGGAAACAAAAGTCAAGGATTAATCCAGCAGAGAAATGATAAGAAAAACAGAGAAAACTTACCAAACACCTCTCCACTCTGGGCAGATTGGCTGCCAATATTCTTTGTCAAAGAAGGATCTGATTGCAAGCAGAATAAAAGATTAGTATCATCACTAAAGACAGAATAGACAGCAACAGACAGAATTGAAAAGTTACCTTATATAACTTGCATATTGATGTCTTTGATGGTCTGCACCATGAATTTGTGAGTCTCCTCTTCTATGTGGACAGTCCAGTTGTTCCAACCCTTAAAAAGGACATGAAGTGTGGTACTAGAAGCAGGCAGATCACCGAATCTAACCTTCCACCAAGCATCAAACTCGGCAGAACTGCAGGAATTCGGTTCCCATGAAGGATAAAGGGCATCTGCACTATTGTTGATCTCATTTACTGCACACCTTGCATCCTTGTGGACCTCCAAATCATCTGCATCCCTCCCAGAAGAACCCCTATTGCAGCTTCTGTATGATTTAAGCAGAATAAGTTGGGGGCAGCCTAGTTGTCTTGCGCAGAAATTAGGGTGATAGAATTTTGCCCCCAAGTGGTAATTTGGAGGTTTTCGCCCTCCATGAGGCAGATCCTTGGGCAAGGTAACACTCAGGAACTTCTTCCTGAAGTCAGTTCTGGCTACCTCCTCTTCCGGTTCCTTCTCAAAAAGCCGGTATCTAGGCTGGAACCAAGGGTATGTCCTTCTAATCACCACCTGCCACTGCGCTGCAGACCTCTTAGTACAATGTTTGAAGAACATCAGGTACTCATCAATCGATCTCTTGGGCACTTCTGCTAACATTAAAGGTAGGGCCAGAACTTGGTCTTCAGGTAGAACTATATCCAAAAACCTCAGTTCCGGGAAATAAACTTGCAGCCAGATTTGGATCATCCATAACGCACCGGGGGTAGACAGATTGAGAGGATTCTCCAGGGTGGCAGTGTGCAGATTCTTGAACAAATGGGCCAGAACAGTAGGCCCAAGTCCGACGTCAGTATGATTATGTAAGGCCTCTGCCAAGTGTCTGTACTCAAGCAGAACTGCTAAGGAACGATTTGGGAAAACAAACATGTTCAGCCAGTACAGGAGGAACAACATGTGTTGTTGATCCTTGTCCTTCTCAACATTGAACTTTCTCAGATAATTGGAAAAAGAACAGTTCTGGTTGATCACGGCTGAAGAAACGGTGAAAGGCTTGGACAGTTTTTCTTGGTTCTTCCTTCGATGATAATCCCCAATGGCATCAACAAGTCTTCCATGGGGCCTGAATCCAAAGTTCTGAGCCATATCCAGCACGGTTGGTGACATCGGGCCCACACGAAAATCAAAGGTATTGTTGGCAGAATTCCATAAGCAGAGAGCTGCAGCCAAGAGATTTTCATCCCTGTTAATGGACTGTTTAGACAGGAGGATGACGTCATAAATACCATCCCGTTTCCAGTGAGCCCCAAACCGGGGAAGAAGGCTGTCAATCCAGTCAGCCCACTTGACTGGACTATTTCTCACTACACTAGATGGGAACGAACGGCTCAAGTTCTTGCTAACCCAAGAATGAGAAGCTAGAGCAGAAGAACTTTCGAAACATAGGGGAGCTTCGACGTCATCTTTGAACAGGTCCACCATTTCAACAGGAACAGAACCAAACCAGTGTGGACCCAAGACCAGGGTATTCTGGAAGAGATGAAGGACATTCTCATCCAAGTTGTTTTTAGAAAAAGGATTGAGCCTGCTCCTGACCTCTATTGCGTGCTTATCAATCCCAGTCCTAGTAATATAATTTGGAGGAACTCGAACAGAGGAAGACTGAGCACGGGATTTCGAGGAAGACATCTCTCAGGGTTGTTTTTTGTTTAAAAAGAGGAAGTTGACAGGAAAGGCAAGGCAGGTTCTAGCGAAAGGGAGTTGTCAAAAAGGAAGCTTAAAGGAGTGAAGTCTGAGATACTAGGTCTTCGGATGAACAGGAACAGTGGGTTTCGAATTTCTTTTAAAGAAGCTCGAAAACGTGGGAAAGAGAAGACAGGGACGTGGAAAAGATAGGGCGTCATCTGATAAATGAATAGCTAATAAAGAGTTAGTAACTGAACAGTTTCCCACGAACTCGAGCTCAGTGGGAAGACGTGGCAGATGTGGGATAACGGAAGCAACTGGCACGCGCCAATTTAATGGCCAATTCATTTAAGTCTGAAACCGTTCCAAAAACGATTGAGACTTAGGGGGCATTGTTTGGGCCTAAAATTGACACGCCTAGAGCAACAAAGGAGGCCAAGAATAAAACCACAAAACTCAAACAGTTTTGTCTTTGAAAAAAAAGACAAGCAAAAACCAGAAAGGCCTAGCCTAAGATCTATCAAAACAGACAAGCAAAAATTGGGCCTCAAAAGAAAAGTCACCTTCGGGCTCTAGACAAAAATAAACCCAGCACAATTTTGATAAAAAGAAAAGACCCATTTCTTTTCAGAAAACCACGTGGCACTCTTTTATCAGATTTGGAAAAGTCAACAAAACCAGCCATTACAGAGATGATTAGAGAGGGTGAGTAGCTGGCAAAACTGGGAAGGGACATCTCTGAAATTCTAAAAGATCAAATTCCCTTACACATGAATATATTTAGAGATATTTCTTCTATTCAAAAGGTCATTTTCCCAAAGAGATAAGCAAACACAATCTCAGAGAAAGATAAACAGGAAAACAGGGACCTGTTTAAAACTAAGAATTAGACTAACCGTCACGGTTCTCACAGGGGGGCAGTTGGAATTAAAGAGGGGTTAGGTTCTTTTTCAAGAAAAACAGGGAAGTGATCTTAAGAACTGACTATTGAGAGCTTATCTACCAGAAATTGATCAAAACCCCCTTTCTTTACAATTAAAAATGAAAGATCTTTTTTAAGAAATTGCCGCCCATTATTTAAAAAGAATTGCCCTACTCCAAATAACATCTCTTATAAATACAAGAAGGAGTGAACAGGGCAAAACACAATGAATCCAACACTCAAGTCATCAATCAAATAAACAACTCAAAATCAACAAGAAGCTCACTTGAATTCCAAGTGAAAACCAACTTTAGATCAGAATTCCCAAGGTTCATACTTAGAAAATAAGTCATTCAAAACGAGATTTCTCTCATTACAAATTTCCCAAACATGAAAACCTCAACAAATTTTACAGTATAGTCTCTAGCCCACTGAAGTCCTCGAGAACAGCCACTTCTGCCCTTACAGCCTAAAGAAGCCACAGTTCTGCCCACTCAGAAGCCTCCCAAAAGCTTGAAGTGTATTAAAGCTCTGCCAAAATTAACCTTTGGTATCGATCTACAGCTGAAGCTTAGCAACAGAAGTTGTTAACAGTCCAGTCTAGCCCAAATATTTCCAGTCCAGCCTGGATCAGAACCCTCTATCCATGCAGAAATGGAGTTCCAACTGTCCTTTCTTCTTTCTAGCTTGGATATTTATGTTTATAGTTTTATAAAAGCAGTTCTGCCTAAGACAACTTAAATTCCATCAACCATTCTGGCCAGAACAACCTCTTTATACTGAGACAAATTGTTAAAGTCCTCACCAGTCTGGGGCAAGAAAAGAACTTACTTGGGAGATATTCATCACCCAAATTCACAATCGTTTGTTTATGGAAATCAGTAACTTGGGGCACAAGTTATCTATTCTAGAATAAGTCTGCTAGAATCTTCATTGCTAGCAGTGGCACACTCATACACCAAAGAAAGCTGACTTGCTGACCAGTCAATGGTTCACAAGGCAGTGGGGAACTTTGCCCTTCCACCACAGGAGTGATCACAAAACAGGTGAACAGAAGGTTTATTGATTGTTTACTTCATGTATTTCGCATGTTATTGAACCGATATTGAATGTTTATTGAAGGTTTATTGAAAAAAAAAAAAAAAAAAAAAAAAAAAAAAAAAAAAAAAAAAAAAAAAAAAAAAAAAAAAAAAAAAAAAAAAAAAAAAAAAAAAAAAAAAAAAAAAAAAAAAAAAAAAAAAAAAAAAAAAAAAAAAAAAAAAAAAAAAAAAAAAAAAAAAAAAAAAAAAAAAAAAAAAAAAAAAAAAAAAAAAAAAAAAAAAAAAAAAAAAAAAAAAAAAAAAAAAAAAAAAAAAAAAAAAAAAAAAAAAAAAAAAAAAAAAAAAAAAAAAAAAAAAAAAAAAAAAAAAAAAAAAAAAAAAAAAAAAAAAAAAAAAAAAAAAAAAAAAAAAAAAAAAAAAAAAAAAAAAAAAAAAAAAAAAAAAAAAAAAAAAAAAAAAAAAAAAAAAAAAAAAAAAAAAAATATAACGTCATCCGCTTCAGGGATCAGGAAAAGCTCAGCTTTTTCTAAACACATAAATTTCCCAAAAATTACTTGGCGAATTGATACATCCCCTGACCATTTCAAATACTTCAGATTTGGAGCAAAAATATTTACCAAATTCTTGCAAGTGGAAAGAAAATTCGAGTCGATAAGTATGTCTTCAAGTTTTTCCCCTGAGATGCTAAGGATGAGGCCACAAGACATAGTGCTATGCACAAAACTAAAATATGTCAAAGAGGAGCTTTCAATGGTGACCTGTTTTATTCCAAAAGTCGTTCAAGATGTAATTCCTTTATGCACTTACGTGAACATGAGATCCGTTTGAAAAACCCCTAATCATCTTCTACACGCATATATCTCAGCTTCAAGTATTCAAGATTAGAGGAAGAAGCAAGGGAGGGTGCTTTAAGAATCTGACAGCGATAGGGACCTCAAAGATCCACAAAGAAAGACAGACGACGGTAACAAATAAAGTCTCCCTACTACTTCGAAATTAACCTCAAGAACTTCAACTTTACACCTAACCTATCCAAAGAACTCATTAACTTTAACAGCTTTTCGCAGGTTAACAAATTTGCATAATACCCAACAAAATTCAGTGAGGTAGTTGACAGATAAAGCTCTCTGCATCTTTTGGAGACAGTTGAAACGAGTGAGGTCTTTTATAACAAGGAAGGCAAGGCAAGAATGTTATGAGCAACTTCGTCTGAAAGGTTGCTGATTCTGTCTATCATTTTCCGGAAGATTAATTACTTCAATTTTTTGAAATTTGGGAAGTCAATCAAGTTCTAGTCATATTGTAATGTTTCAAGATTAAATGGCCTAAACTAGAACAGACCAAAACAGAGTTTGGTGCCTACATTACATGTCAAATACATATATTTCAACATTGCAACACAAAATGCCTAAAAATTGCTGTTGTTGAGCTCAATGCTGGAGGAGAGATGCCCTTGTAAAGCTACATTATCTTAGTCTTTGCTTTTTGTTTCCTCTTTGTTGATCTTCCTGAAAGACAACTGTGGCACTAGAAATCCTCTTGCTTTTATTTAACTTCCTTATAACACTATATTGCTGGGGCGAATGCACAATTACCATTTTCTTCAAGTTTTGGGCATACTCAAGCATGTACGCTGCTAACTCAATTCCGTTAGACCCATTCGAGAGCTCTATGGTTACCTCCTTAAGATGAGGAATAAACGCAAGGTTTTGCAATCTCCAATATCCCATATTAAAACCAGAACACTGCAGCAATCAACAAGCAAAATCAATTGAAACTTCCGAACAAAAAGTAGTAATTTACCAAACATAAAGGCAGGAAAACTACACACCATGAAAGAGAGGAAGAAAGAAATACGCAACACTTTTACTTACATCAGTTTTAAGGTCAAGGAACTGTGGGTCAGACTTTATTTCCAAAGTTCTCAAATTACACGTTCCTCCAAACATAGAGACCATTTCTGGGACTAGGATATCAAGAAAGCTTCCAATATGAATAGACAAATGAAAAACATTCTTCAGTAGCCCTGGTACGAAAACTCCATTTAACAGAGCCTACAAGTTATAAAGACAACATCAGCAATCCGAAAGACAAGAACTAATTAAGAAAAAAGCTAAATGCAACACTTAAGACAATTAAGTAGAAGCCCATATCATGGTTTTTGAATTACTCAATCTGTAAAAGTACTATTACAAAGTTGCATGTTGACAATTCTAAACCAAACAAGAAACATAAACATGAAACTTCATTCTAGCTAGTCTGATAACAAAAAAAATATTTGCCATAAGTTTTCTGACATTAAACATATAATATAAATTAACTTACCCTTATTGCCATGCTCGGAAAGAATATAATCTAAACAATACCAATTTGAAAAAAAATATCTGGAAGAATAGTGTCTAGTTACCATGGTGGTCTCTTTGTTTAGAACAAGAGCTTCAACCCTGTTTATAGTTATACTGCACAGAACCTCAGACAAGATTTTAACGTCATCCGCTTGAGGCTTTAAAAAAAGCTGAGCTTTTTCTAAACACATAAATTCCCCCAAATTTTTTCGAAGCACTACATTCCCCGACCATTTCAAATATTTAAGATTTGGAGCAAAAATATTTAAGAAATTCTCGAAAGTGGATCCAAATTCCCAGTCAATAAGTACGTCTTCAAGTTTTTCACCTGAGATGCTAAGGAGGAGGTAGGGAAACAGATCGGAATCAGTGTGATGCACAAAACTAAACGATTTCAAAGAGGGGCTTTCAATGATGACCTGTTCTATTCCAAAAACATGATAAAGATGTAATTCCTTGATGCACTTACATGAACATGAGATCCATTTGAAAAACCCCTTATCGTCTTCTATATCAACAAACTCCAACTTCAAGCATTCAAGATTAGAGGAAGAAGCAAGTGAGGGTGCTTTAAGAATCAAATCGAGACTGGAGAGCAATAGAGACATCAAAGATCCACAAAGAAAGACAGACGATGGTAAAAAATAAGATCTCACTTCAATAACGAACATCGATATCGAATGGTGTTGGCATGGGACCTTTCTTCAACAGAGCCTGCAATGTCATAAAGACAAAATCCAAATAGAAGAATCAATAGAACATAAAAATCCTGCAAGAACAATAATAATAAAATTCATACGCAATTTTCTGACATGCATCCACATTTTCTGAACCAAGAAAACTATATGCAATCATATATTATCAAAATCAAGTTTGAAAATATTGAATAAACCTGTAGGTAGCGTCTCTTTACCTTGGTTGTCTCTGTATGTAGAAAATACATACATTCTCTAATAGCATATCACGAACGCTTCCAACATGAATGGACAAATAACAAACATTCTCTAATAGCAGTGGTACGAAATCTCCATAGAAGACAGCCTACAAGTTATAAACACAAACATAAGGGAACCGAAAGACAAGAATTACGAACATTAATTAAGAAAAGAACCACCTGCTATATATTTGAGAAAATAAGTCGATAAAATAGTCATTACTAATTAAAAGTTGAAACTATAATGGTTTTTGAAGTACTTGATCTGTCAAAGTACTATTACAAAGTTTCAGACCGACAATTCTAAAACAAACAAGAAACATCAACATGAAATTTCATTCTAGCCAGTATAACCAAAATTAATGAAAAATATAACCAAATCTTATTGCCATCAGTTTTCTGAAATTAACTTACCCCTATTGCCATGCTGGGAAAGAATATAACCTAAACAAGACAAAATTGAAAAAACAAAAACCATTAAATAAAAAGAACATCTTGAAGAGTAGTATCTAGTTACCATGGTGGTCTCTCTGTTGAGAACCTCAGACAATATTTTAAAGCAATGGCGATTAGAATCCAGAAAAAACTCGGCTTTTTCTAAAGACGTAGATTTCCCCAAACTTTGGCCAATCCATATATCATCCCCTGACAATTTCAAATACTTAAGATTTGGAGCAAAAATATTGACCAAATTCTTCACACAGTTATGAAGATCCAAGTGAACAAGTATGTCTTCAAGTTTTTCAGCTGAGATGCTAGGGGTAAAGTCAATATACACAGGGGAATGACGCACAAAACTGAAAGATTTCAAAGAGGAGCTTTCAACGGTTATCTGATTTATTCCAAAAATATCTTCAAGATGTAACTCCTTGATGCACTTACATGAACATGAGATCCACTTGAAAAACCCCTCATCTTCTATGAAAACATCATCCAACTTCAAGTATCTCAGTCAATTGCAGTGTTCGAAAAATCGGCCTAGGCGGGCGCTAGGCGGCTAGGCGGGCTCTAGGCGGCTAGGCGGTCGCTAAGTGGGCGCTAGGCGGCTAGGCGGTCGCTAGGCGGCTAGGCAGTAGCTAGGCCGGAGCTAGGCGGCTGGGCGGGCGCCTAGGCGGGTTAGGTCTTTTTCCGGTGCCGAACCCGGAGGACGAAGCAGCGACTGCGAGTGCAAGCTTTCTGAATATATTTAAAGAGTATAGCCGTTCGGCTATAACTTTAAAATATTCGAATGTATTTAGAAAGTATAGCCGGACGGCTATAACGTTTGGAATATATTTTTAATAATAATAATACAAAAGAAGCCAAAAGCTTAATATATATTTAAAAAAAATTTTTTTTTTTTAAAAATATTTTAAAAAAAAAAAAAAAAAAAAAAAAAAAAAAAAAAAAAAAAAAAAAAAAAAAAAAAAAAAAAAAAAAAAAAAAAAAAAAAAAAAAAAAAAAAAAAAAAAAAAAAAAAAAAAAAAAAAAAAAAAAAAAAAAAAAAAAAAAAAAAAAAAAAAAAAAAAAAAAAAAAAAAAAAAAAAAAAAAAAAAAAAAAAAAAAAAAAAAAAAAAAAAAAAAAAAAAAAAAAAAAAAAAAAAAAAAAAAAAAAAAAAAAAAAAAAAAAAAAAAAAAAAAAAAAAAAAAAAAAAAAAAAAAAAAAAAAAAAAAAAAAAAAAAAAAAAAAAAAACCCCATGTTGTCCTGAGCACGACAGTATGCTCGGACTTGATTTTGCTTGTCGTTTGACTGTCGATTAGATATTGCTTAGTAGGCATTATTCGGGTTCGATATGCTCAGACAGTTGGATCAACTTTATTTTTAAATATGTATATATCAAAGTTATATATCAAAGTTAGGAATTTGTTATTGTTTGAAATCTATAATAACAGTACAAATCTTGAACATAAACGTTAAGAAGAAGTTTATAAATTATTGAAGTAAGTAGAAAAAATTATGTTAGAACTTTAAAAAATATTTACGCAAATAATAAAGTTAGCAAATATGAATCAATGAATTTAAAATGGTAAAGAAATTAAAAAAGAAGAAGAAGAAGAAGATATAGCAACCAGAGACACTCTTAAGGCCCAAAACTATAGAATTAATAGTAAATTTCGCGTACCCTTCGAAATTGAATTTTCCTTAAATGCAACCATCACTTTTTGTTCCTATTAATAAAATCTATTTTTTATAAATAAAAACCCATTAGTAGGATCCAACTCATCAAGTTACCTTATCAAGCTCAAGATTTAATTTATTATAATTTTTAGATTGTTATGAATATCCAAAATATCCCCACGTCTTTGCAATTGTTGTTTTCTCAATTGATTGTTCTGAATATACTTTGAACATATTTGATGCAATTGTCATTAATATTCAAATGGTGTTTTTTTTTTGGTTGAAATGAAACGATGATATATTATTAATGATAGGAAAGGATTACATTTGATCGGAAACTAAAACATCAAATGGTGTTTTAAATTTGCTTAAATTTAGGAATTTTTTAGGGTAACTTTAAGTAAGTCACATTTTGAGACTATTGAATCTATTAAGAAACATTTAATATACCTATCACGGTTTAACATAAACTAATGTACCTATTATTATTATTTTTTTAATGAATAATCTACATATCTTTTGTAACTCTACATGTACCTATTTTAAGTACCTGTAAATAACATACCGATTTATTTGTTACCTAAATACTGTACCAATTTTGTGCACCTATAAATAACATACCTATTTTTTTGTTGCCTAAATATTGTACCTATTTTGTGCATAGCCTAAAAATAAGTATGGCCTACTAGTAATGGAAAAAATAATAATTACCGTATCTAGGTCAAGAGTATAGCCGTGCGGATATACTATTTATAAAAAAGAATTTTTTTTGTTAAAAAAGGACCACATAAAGCCGCGCGGCTAGCTATATGGTTTTTATTTTTAAAAATCCTGAGTATAGCCTAACGGCTACACGTTTTTTTATACATTAAAAACAGGACCCACTCAGCGCTTAGCTTGTGTTTTGGTCCATAAATAGAATATTTCAAATGTATCTCTATAAATAGAAATTTTAAATGGTATAGCCGCGCGGCTATATCCATTGAATAGAATTTTCTGAATTTCTCTCTTTTAATTATTATTTAATTAGTGAATAATTAGTATTTAAATATTGAAATATATTTTATTTTTATTCAATAATATGTGAGTATTTTGTGAATAAAACGTGAATTTTATGTGTATTTGAAAATATTGTGAAAAATAAGTGTTTTAAACATAAAAAATACATATGTACGTACATACACAATACGAGTATTAAACGTGAAAGTGCTAAATTTTTTATACGGCTAATAATTCTGGAAAAGAAAAAACTCAAAAGAGGAGAATACAGACTCGGGTAATGACCTAATAGTAATGAATAATGTTCTAAACCACTCTTATCGATAAACAAAAATTGGGGAAAAACAATTATAAAAAAAATCACAGTATCTAGGTAAAGAGTATGGCCGCACGGCTATACTCTTTATAAAAAGACAATTTTAAAAAACCCAGTAAAGCCGACAATACTCGTTGAATAGAATTTTCTGAATTTCTCTCTTTTAATTACTTTAATTAGTAGTTATGTTTTAATTATTATTTACTTAGTGAATAATTAGTATTTAAATATTTCTCTCTGTTAGAACATAAAAATCCTGCAAGAACAATAATCAAAACTATACGCAATATTATGTCACCGACATGACCAGCCTTTACATGCACCACGTTTTCTGAACCAAGAAAACTATATGCAATCATATATTATCAAAATCAAGTTTGAAAAAATTGAATAAACCTGAAGGTAGCGTCTCTTTACCTTGATTGTAGAACAAGACAATTAATCCTACTCATGCTGCATAGAACCTCAAATTGACCTTGACAACTTGCAGTGGCAAGTAACATAGGCTTGGGTTCCATGAGACTAATTATTTCTGTGTTGCTGTGTTTGTAAGAGAAGTTGGTTTCAATTCATACACAACAAACCTATAAGACCAGGGAAATTAAATACTAAAACATCATTTATATTCATTTGTACACTGAATTAAATAAAGACAAGTAGGTTGGTTTTGATACTAGCACTTACCACCATTGATGCACCCTTACTCTAGCTAGCAGGAGGATGCTTCAGCCAAACTGGGTCTTATATAAAATGGAGAATGGTGCTTGGCTGGCTTTGTGGGGTTTTGTTTAGGGGAAGATTTTGACGCGCCCAATCTCACGTCTGACACTCTGTCTACGACTCACGAATAAGGAGTGCATGAGGTAATTTAAGAGTGATTTTGTCAAAATCATGCGTTTTTTATTTATCGTATTGGCACTTGGGTTTAGTGTGTAGTCCTTCGATGTTTCCTTGCGTACATTTACTAATTTTTTTTGTTTTAATATGTAACAAATATTTATATGCTAAAGTTTGCAAAAAATTTTATGCTTTAAAATCTATGAATAACAATACAAATCTTATTGTAAATGTTAAAAACAAGTTTATAAAAAAATTAAAATAAGTAGAAAAAGATAAGTTACAAATGAACAACTATTCATCAAAACCATTCACTCTGTTCTTAAGTAAATTATCGTCCCCTGAAAATCCATCATGTGCACTAATGTTGGATTGTCCATGGAATTGATTTAACATATTTCCAGGGATAGAATTTCTGAGTTGGGTGGTAATCAAAACAGCCAAACAGGCTAGCAACAAAAAGCAGATATAAAAAAAAATCAAAACTATAAGCGTCATGTAATCTACCAAATTATGGTGTTAAAAAAAAAAAAAAAAAAAAAAAAAAAAAAAAAAAAAAAAAAAAAAAAAAAAAAAAAAAAAAAAAAAAAAAAAAAAAAAAAAAAAAAAAAAAAAAAAAAAAAAAAAAAAAAAAAAAAAAAAAAAAAAAAAAAAAAAAAAAAAAAAAAAAAAAAAAAAAAAAAAAAAAAAAAAAAAAAAAAAAAAAAAAAAAAAAAAAAAAAAAAAAAAAAAAAAAAAAAAAAAAAAAAAAAAAAAAAAAAAAAAAAAAAAAAAAAAAAAAAAAAAAAAAAAAAAAAAAAAAAAAAAAAAAAAAAAAAAAAAAAAAAAAAAAAAAAAAAAAAAAAAAAAAAAAAAAAAAAAAAAAAAAAAAAAAAAAAAAAAAAAAAAAAAAAAAAAAAAAAAAAAAAAATCTCACTTCAAATACGCTGACATCAACCTCAAGAACTTCAACTTTACACCTCACAGCATTGTGGATCCACGTAATAACTCGAAACCTCACATCTTCAATGAAACATGGATTTTCTTCTGAAAGCAAATTATTCCAACAAATACGGAAGCGCTGTATCTTATTAACCGCACAATGCAGCAATAAAAACCTATCCAAAGAACTCAACAACATTAACCGCCTTGAGCAGGTGGATGTATTTGCATCAGAAAACCCATCAAAATCCAGTGAAGGAGTTGACAGATAAAGTTCTCTACATCTTTTGGAGACACAGCCGAAACGAGTGAGGTCTGTTATGTCAAGGAAGGCAAGAATGTTATGAGCAACTTCGTCTGGAAGGTTGCTCATTCTGTCTATCATTTTCCCACTGCAACTTCGTCAACTTTGTTTCTTAGTTTCGATTCGAGCACAAGTGATGGTTTTGGGAGGAAACAGAGTTGCCAAAGATCCAAAGGCTCCAAGACTGAAACTTCGAAGAACTGAAAGAGACCTTTCAATCTGGAAATAAAAAATAAAAAGAAGAGAGCTTTCAAGATTTTCCGACGTCGTCGATTAGGAGGGCATGTGGTTGTTTGCAGAGAGGATTTCGATTTGGTGAGGAAGGCAAAGCAATGGCCGAATTTGATGATGCCATCGAAGTGGGCATGAGGTTGGGCTGAGCTCAACGATCTTGATCTGGTTCGGCAATTATAAAGAGAGAGAAAGGGAGGCTTGGGGCGGTGTGGGGGTTGCAGAAAAGATGAAGAATCAGCTTTTATATCATTTTAATAAAAATGAGGGTCTTCTGGGCTTTTGTCCCCTAAACTATTTAAATATTGTTAATTTAACCCTTTAATAATTTTTTAGTACATCAAGGACTTCAATTGTTTAAAAATCGTCAATTAAGAACTTACCATCGTTATTTTAAATTTCATTTAAATTTCCGTCCAAATTAATGGTGTTTTTACCAATTAGAAATTGAAATTCTCATTAGGAATTGAATTTCATTTATGCAGGATTCCTATGTTTACTTCACATCAATGAATTAAAAGTTAAGTGAGGCCCACATAAAATTAGGAATTCAATTCCTGATTTTGGAGAAATTCAATTCTTAAGTGAGATGTGGTATTCTAATTCGGGGAGAACTAACCATTAGGAATTCATCTTTTTTACTTATTATATCCTCACTTAATTTTAAATTTTTAAAATTTGTCATCTACTCTAACTCAACAACAAGAACATTTTAGTAATTAGAATCCTCAATTCAATTCATCCTCAATTTAGTTTCTCCTAATCCAATTACGGATTAATAAATATGTCATAAGAGTAAATTCGTAATTTTATATAAAGAGAAAATAAAAACTTCACCTAAATAAACTTTTTTATCTCCTCCTTCTCCCTCTTTCTCCTCGAGCCCCCATCCAGGTTTCAGATTCTGGGGATTTAAGCTTCCATCCACCAACTATCTTTGAACATTTGCTCATATGATGAACTTGATTATTCCCCCACTCCCACCCCCAAACCGCTACCCACCCATTTAACCTCCCTTCAATTCCTTCTCCCCTCTGCCATCCCTCGCCCCTCTCAAACCCCTCCCCTATCTCCCTCGATTTCTTCTCCCACCCCCAACCCCCAAATCGCCACCCACCCATTTCAACCCCCTCTTCCCCCGATGTGGCAACCTCCATGTTGAGGAGTGTAAAAGCCTTTGAACTTCGTACTTACATATTTTCTTCATACGAGAAATGACATGTTTACTTATTAAGAATAAGAGAAGTCATGAATCTTAGCTTTTGGAGTATTTGATTACAGATTTTAATATGCTTTGAAATTATTCAAATACTCATATATTTGCAAACAAAGGAGAATAAGGAATTTGGATCCTTCTAATATCCATTTTTGATAAGTAAGGAATTTGAACCATGCTAGAGTGGTGGATCTAACAAGAGTGGTAGTTCTATACCCCGTTTTGGTGATGGTACAACTAAAGGCTCAGGGAGACAGTTGCAGACGATATATAGTGGAAGGAGTCGCCCTCAATGTGCCTTATGCAACAGATATCATATTGGGCTTTGTCAGCAGGGTGTATCAGGGTGTTATCATTGTGGATAGTCGGAGCATTTTCGAAGGGAGTACCCGATGTTACTACAAGGTAGAGAAATTATCACCTCAGGGGAGTGGTGTACAAAGCGGAGTGCAAGGTACATCTCAGTTTTTGGGAGCCTCATCCAGTAATAGGCCCCAAACTAATACGACTAGCAGAAGAGGAAGTCAGCAGAGGGGATGATGTTAATACAAGGTAGAGAAATTACTGCTAGACCAACCCAGGGGAGTGGTGCACAGAGTCTAGTGCAGGGTACATCTCATTTTGTGGGAGCCTCATCCAATAGTGGGGCCCAGACTAGTACGGCTAGCATATGAGAAGTGGTGGACGTTCCCGAGCAACTAATCGGATGTATAATATGACTCAGCAGAAGGCACAGGAGTCACTAGACGTCATCATAAGTATGTTACCAGTCTTTGGAATTCCTGCACGTGTTTTAATCGACCCCAGGGCTACACATTCTTTTGTTGCACATAGTTTTGCCCGTAATGCGGATGTGAGACTCACAGCCCTGCGTGAGGAGCTTGCTATTTTTGTACCAACGGGAGATGTTTTTATGGCTAGTGTGGTGTACAAGAATAGTTTGGTTTTAGTAGGAGATGTATTCCTAGAGGCGGACTTAATCCCTTTGGATATCGTGGATATAGACGTTATTCTGGGTATGGATTGGTTAGCCAAGTATCATGCTTCAGTTGGTTGTCTTGGACGACCTAAGGTGACTTTCTATAGGGAGTGTAGAGTTCTTCCATCTTGCCTCATTTCAACCATTACAGCGAGACGGTTACTTAAAAAGGGATGCTTAGGATACTTGGCTCATGTGATTGATACATGGGATAGTGGATTGCGGTTGAAAGATATTCTGGTGGTACAGGAGTTTCCAGATGTGTTCCCAGAAGATCTTCCTGGATTACCTCTTGAACGGGAGATTGAATTCACTATTGAACTCGTCCCCTAAACGAATCCTATTTCTCAGACGTCGTACAAAATGGCACAAACGGAATTAAAAGAGTTGAAAACTCAATTGTAGGAGTTGGTGGACAAGGGTTTCATTCGACCCAATTTTTCTCCTTGGGATGCACCAGTTTTGTTTGTGAAAAAGAATGATGGCACCATGAGGTTGTGCATTGATTATAGAAAGTTGAACAAGGCCACAGTGCATAATCAATATCCATTGCCATGTATTGACGACTTGTTCGATCAGTTGAAGGGAAGATTGATTTGAGATCAAGCTATCATCAGTTATGGATCAAGGAAGAGGACGTACCTGAGACTGCTTTCCGGACAAAGTATAGCTATTACGAGTTTTTAGTGATGCCTTTTGAGTTGACTAATGCGCCAGCAGTGTTTATGGATCTCATGAACAGAGTGTTCCGACGTCATCTAGACCGCTTTGTGATTGTGTTCATAGACAATATCCTTGTGTATTATAAAAGTTAGAATGCGCACATGAAGCACTTGGAAATTGTACTGATAACTTTAAGGAGGAGACAGTTGTATACAAAGTTTAGCAAATGTCAGTTTTGATTAGATAGAGTTAGTTTCTTGGGGCATGTGATTTCTGCTGAAGGTATTTATGTGGATCCCCAAAAGGTGAAAGTAGTGGTAAATTGGCCTTGACCAACTAATGTCATTGAGGTACGAAGTTTTCTTAGACTAGTTGGGTATTATCGTCGCTTTGTGGAGGGTTTCTCCACCATAGCGACAAGTAGTTAGGGGTCATCGTTTGGTTCGTGTGCTCAAAGGCCAATGAGTGCTCATTCAACCCACTAAGGAAAAGCCTAACTTGACCGACCCATAAAAGCCCGGCCCGACCTACCCATACATAAACATAAGGGTGTGCAAGCACCCTTTTTTTTTGTCATTCGTTGGAGGGGGATAGGGGAGAGTATTATATTGAGTTGTTTCAAGATTGTTTCTTAAGTGAATCGAACCCAGGTGCACTTAGGGGAGGGGAGAGAGAGTTTGACCCACTTTTTCCACTGTGGTACCACCCCATATGCGGTGTGCAATCTCGGTTAACCTCCTTTAATTTGTAAATCCCCAACTCGACCCGCCCCAAGCCCTATAATTTTGGGAAAGCCTCCTAACTAGAAGCACTTCCATCTTTAATGACAATAATGTTGTTGGTTGGTTACAAAATGTAACCATGGTTGGTTATTGCCTTTGCTGGCCATTATGGTCGCCGCATTACCTTGGTCAACGAAAACCCCAAACTGGCATTTAGCCACGACTTTGTGTGCACCCTGCAAACAACCCCAGTGAAAAACAAAATAATCAAAACCCTAAGCCCCAGATGCTCAACCATCCCAAAGCCTGATATCTACGATTCATTTGATTCAGGCAAAGGTAACTCTCTCTCACTCCCACTCTACACTCTACACTCTACACACGCGCGTCTTGTATCTTTTTGCTTCAGATAAAGGTGAATCGTTATATATCTTTGTGTTTGTATGTATATTTGTGTGGGTGTGAAGTGAAACTGCAGCGGTTAAGCTTATATTCTCAATTATGACTAAAAAGATAAGAAGTTATTAACTTCTTGTCACCAAAAAGTTATTGGTGACAACGAGAGTTTTTTTTTTCTCACTGATTTTCGTTCTATTATTTGAACGAATTTAACAAATTTTGAAGCTTGTAAGCATATAATTGTTGCTTATATTAAATATTGTAAGTCTGACTTACTTAGAGAGCTTTTCGAGTCACCCGGCCAGCTTGCTCTGACTAATTTGATTTCCTTTTCGCTTTTTAATTTGTGATGTTTGTTAGTAGATCATGAGACGCAAACAAGCCTGCAGGGGAAGGGGAAGGCCACGAAAGAAACCCAATGTGGTCAGTGAGAGAGTAGTAAGTGAGAGAATGGTTAATGAGAAATTGGTCAATGAGAAAGAAGTAGCATTCTTGAATTTTGTGAGTCAAAATGTTGAAGAAGGAAATGATATTGGGTGGAATCAATCTGATAACGAAGACCATAATGATGAGGAATTTGACCCTGAAATGGAGATTGATTCAGGTAATTCTTCTTCTTCTTCAATGGGGAGTGACTGGTTGTACGGGGATCAAAATGTGAGCTCCATGGATAGGACTGTGCAGAGATTGCTTAGGAAGTATGGTGAAGTGAATCTCCAGATGGAAAACTCATCCAAGAAGATTGACGGTGCACAAACTAAGACATTGCAAGTCTTTCGTTCTTGGAGTAGATTCCAGAATGAGCAAGAGGCGCCTTCGCATGATCCTTGCTGTAACAAAAAAGAATTAAGCGCTTCTCTTGCGGTATGATGGAAATTTTGTAATTGGTTTCTGTTGTGACATTTTGGTTTTAGAATTAGGTACTTGTGTAGTCTTTTATACATTCATAAGAAGGGACAAAATGTTTTTTGTTTGCGAAAAAACAATTGAAGTGCTTCTAACCAGGCATTTTGTTGCGATAGTTTTTCTGACCAGAATATGCCTAATGTGATTGAACTTACTGCTGTTCTCACCTTATAGGTTATTAAGAGGGTTATGAAAATGGATGCAGCTGTACCTTTCAACATTCCTGTGGATCCAATTGCTCTGAGATTACCTGTGAGTGTGATTTTCGATGTGCATGTTTTCTAAATATTTTTCTTGAGTGATAACATGATATGGTGATCGTTATGATGTACCAGCTTTTTTGCGGGCATCTAATAGGAGATCGCAGTTTCTTGCTTCAAGTTTATCAAGTTACTATGTCAAACTATGTCTTTTGGGGTACAAGCTTGACTAGCCACTAAGCTTTTAACTTTAGTGGAAAAATGACTTGGTTGAATTCAAACATCATTTTGTTTTTGTAATAATGCTAGTCTTCTGCACTGATGTGTTTCATGTCAGCAACTCCTACCATATATATGGTATAGCTGTTTTATTTTGATGATCTTATTTTTAAATTTGATTCTCTTTTGGTCTGGACTAGAGAACAAAGATCTGTTATCACCTTATACGTATCAGTTCTGGTTTTAAGCTATACAAAGCGTATTTAATTAGGAACGAACTCTGCTTTGGTTTATGTCTATATATTGTCAGGTTTGCAATATCTGTTTATGCTACGATTATCTGCTTTATTGCAATTTGCACTACACCCAGACTTGGGTTATTTTTATTTACACACACATATGTGTGTTCATTTAAAAAGCCAGTCAAAAACCTGATTTGGTTTCATTTGAGTATATATATACACATCACTTTTGATTATATATGTATTTGTATGCATATATTATTCTACTTTTTCTATGTTGCAAAATATAAGTAATACCAAGTACCTACTGCATAGGACAAAGGTTACAAAACCAGGGTCAAAATTAGCAAAAATGACCCTCCATTAAAAGCCTGAAAAGAACTTAATTCTTGTCACAGATGCAAATACTGTATTCTTGGAAGATATGGATATTCTATTGGTAAGTCTCCGTTTTTCATGTACACAAATATCTGCAAGTTAATACACATTGGTGTTCATATCCTGTTCTGGGGTCCTTGGGTTTACCTCAGTGGCTGAGGTGCTTTGCCCCCCACCCTGACCCCATGACCCATGTTCAAAGCCCCTTGAGTGTGTGCCTCCTCCCCTTTATTGCTGTAACTCAAAATTATATCCCGTTCTGGGCACTCTGTAGCATATCATGTATTCAAAAAGGAAAAACGAAGCTTTATATTAACTGTAAGGTTTTAAGGTTCTATTATGCTTCCTGAATCAATAAGTTGGAAATATTGAATTCTTAGGCTTTTTTGTTTAGCTGATCTAATCTCGGACGGATCCACAATGCAACATTGACGTCATAGATGTCATATCTGTTCTGAAATGCGTTGCTGCGTTCCTTTCATAATTCTTCTCTCCCTTATTGATTTATCTTCTACTTTCTCTGTCTTTTTTTCCCTTTTCTGGGGGTGATGACGGTTGGATCCAGGATTACTTTGATGTCATAGATACACCAATGGATTTTGGAACAATATGCAACCATCTTGAAAATGGTACTAAGTACATGAACTCGGAGGATGTATTCAAGGACGTCCAATACATTTGGAAGAACTGCTACAACTATTACAATGAGGGTAACTTTGTTTTGGACCTTATGAAAAGGGTGGAGGCGAAGTTCATGACGTATTGGATAGCTGCTGGTCTGTCCAGTAAAGAACCAGGGACAAGTAGCAGTAAGGGTTTCACATTACTTCTGTTTTGTTACTTTATTTTGATAGGTGATTTAAATAAACTTGTTATTCTTGGTGATAAATTTTCACTTGGGAGCCAGTGATATCAAGATTTTGACCGCCAATATAGATATAGAGGGTGAAACTGTCTTTCCTATTCCCCGATATTTCGCCGCTAATCAGCGACAATTAGCTGAAACTGAATGGAAGAAGAACAGATGAGTTTCCACTCTATTCTGTGTTAAAATCATTTCCATCTTATACAAAAGTAACCTTGATCACAATATATGTAGTTAGAGTTTTACTTTCATATACTTATCTCAGGCGCAGTATACTATGAAATTTATTTATTTATTGCATGTATTAGTATATGATAGACAAAGTATATTATGAAATTTATTTGTTTAGTACTTGCATAACGCATTTATGATTGATTTAACATTTCTTAATGTTTCATTAAAATTTTCCATGTTTTAAAGCCGATATCTGTCGTTTTCATTGACAGTCCCTAATATTGGAAACTATACGTAATATCGGTCGATATATCTGTATGTTTGAGTACGATATTGTTTGCATGGTTGATTATTTCATCCTTGGTTGCCCTTGTATGTGGTTTGCCTTCTCAAATTTCATTTTGTCTTTGTTACTATGCATTTCAGCATGGCCTTTTTGATTCTGTGATCACCATCAAGAGTGAGGTTTTGCTCTTATTAACCAAAGAAAAGAATTCAAGAGTAGGTAACATATCAATTGGTAAAGTTCCCAAGATCCCAGTATGGTTGGGTTTGTTGTACAGGTACTGGGAGACAGCATGCCCCTATGCCAGTATGCAGTGCTTTTAGAGTACGCTTATTTGTTTGTTAATTGGGTTATAATTTTCATAGGATTACTTGGGTTTCTATGCACAGTATGAAAGAAAATCCATACCTGCATGCATAAGCACTTACAAACAAATAGATTAAATTTAAAGATTACTGAATATGTGAATCAGCGCATATTTCATCTTGACTTCTTGAGGTCTAAAATTGTTGGCAATTTTTCTTTAGTTTTAATCTTTTATTTTTGTTTTCTATCTCATATATCTTAGATTTTTATCCTTTCTTTATTTGTTGACTAAGAAAATCTTCCTATAAAAATAATAATAATTAAGAATATTCAACTGCTGAGTATTAGACAACGGATTGGAAAGACTTGTGATCTCGGGCTCATCGATAAACTATGCATTTCATACATACATTGACTTCAGTGAGTTTGAGCTCTGATAAGTATATCAATGAAATTGGAGGTGATGGAGCAGCTTTACAGTTGCATCAAGCACTTATCAAGGAAGACTATATGTATTGAATTGTTCTATAAAGTCCTCATAGGTCTCATGCTAGAATGATACCTGTGTTGTATTTAGTTGAACTCTTTAGTCATTGTGCGTTTCATGGTTGTGGTTTAGATCAAATATGTATTGGCTTTAATCAATTCTTCAACCTATGTGTGCATACAGATATATCATTTCCTTTTGGTTGTAAAAGAAGCCAATAGAGAAACCATATTGTCTTTGATTAATTCTTTTTTCCACTGCCTTTAAGATCGCAGTATCTTCATAAATGTTTTGAACTTCTGTATGTACTATATACCATTCTTCAAAGTTTTCATAATGTTGTTCTATAAAGATGATATTGTTTACTGCCAAATAAATTCTATATGTGAGTTTAGTTTATTAAATAAATTGAATTTGAATCTGTTTAGGAAATTAGATTTTTTTTTCTTCTTGTAATTATTAACTAATCCATATATGCTTATATGTGTATTTCTCACTTATTTTCAAGACAAAGTAGAGGAGTTTCCATTGTACTGATGTATGAATGTTGAATATATATACTTCGAAACTCAAATTGACAGCAAATCTTTTAATTTTCCAGTACTTTAGTTCCTTAAGATGAGGTCTCCATATTATATTTTTCATCATTAGTGTAGGTTACTTCAGGTTTCAATTTCGTTAAGTTTTGATTCAATTTTTTATATTTTTATAGTTTTAAGAAGCTCAAATGTGGGGAAAAGGAGGACACGAGGGCCCACCCGTAACCTTAAACTAGCTCAAATTCCGATTGGGGAAAGATTTGAAATCAGCTGGAGAAACCGGAGAGCTGTAGGTGATAGCTCCACAATTTTCAAATCAGAGTGTACAGCCCTGGTTAGGCAAACCCGGGAGCTACCCCTGCAGGTCAAGTCGTGGAAGAAAATCCCATTTGAGATTAAAAGAAGGCATTTGAACATATGTTGGTTAGTACAACAAAAGATTTTGAAGGAAGTAGTTCACAGTATACCTTTTAATTTTCCTTTAAATCCTCAGTTTTGCATGTTTATTTTGTCATATTTCCTCATACATGTTCTCAGAAGCGTTTCAAAGTTGAAGATCACATGACATGGGTATTGGATCAGATTCATAGATCCTACCACAATTATCGGCATTACCTCAAGAAGATATGGTATGAAACATGTGAGACAACTGAGGAAGCACGGAAAAAAATACCACCAAATGTTGCGGAGGATGATTGGCAGTATCTTATAAACATGTGGAGCTCACCTGAATGGGAGGTACCAAAAAAATGTTGCATATAAAAAGAAAATATTGAGGGGAAAGAAAATCAAGAAACTTTACATTTTTTCCTATTTTCCTTTCAGTTATCTGTTTTGCCTTGGATTTTTTTTAATACATTCATAGTCTTCCTTGAATGCAGTCAATTAGTAAGAAAAATGTGGAGAATCGTTCCAAAAATAACATAATCCACACATCTGGTTCCAAGAGTTTCTCACAAATCCGCGAGGAAGAGGTCTGACCAGAGCTATTCACTTCTTGAGTAATATTTTACTGTGTTCGTCATCATTCTTAGTTTTTTTGTTTGTGCAATTGCAGAGAAAGAAGACTGGAAATGACCCTGGACGTACATTTCTATGGGAACTTACCCACGTGCGGCCTGATGGACTAGCTGCAAATCCAGCTTCACAGGAGGCATTGGTATATATTGATCCCGAAATTAAATTGGATATGCAAGCTTACCTAATTGTCAGTTATATAGTTTTGGTTCTCTCTTTTATAATTTTTTCATTGTACCTTGTGGTTTCATTTTCTGAATGCAGTCAAAGCTCAAGAAACTTTATACTCAAATGTCTGTGGAGAACTCACAGATGACTGAAGACGAGATTTTTGTAAAGGTTTTTGGACCTGAGCGTTCGAGTCGGGTGCGTGGTTATGGAAATGGTGTAACCCCAAAAGAGTTATGGGGCCCATCATCTTCATCATCATCTACTGTTAGTGAGCTCAGAAGGCAACTTGAGGAATCAAAGCAGCGACAAGAGGAGTCTGAACAAAGAAGTGCTGCTGAGGTACAGGGCTTGAAAGAGCAACTTGGTCGGGTTGAGGGTTTGCTATCAGTTCAAATGAATCGGTTTGAAGGTTTACTAGTACAGTTGATGAGTCATATGCACTCCCCGGCCCAAATTGAGAGACGTTCTGAAAATCCACCCTCCCGAAATGGTATGCATCTTTGAATACTTACTTTATACAGAATTATCATATAGGGGTTTTGGGAAAATGGAATTACAATCTTTGAACAATTTATATTGAAGTACGACTCATTTGAATTGAGAATTCTGCATTTGTCTTGTTTGGTGAAAGACTGATAGGGAAAAATATGGGTCAGGCACCACAATATATCACTGTTTCATAATTCTTCATTGAGAAAGACGTATACCCAATGCTGGTGCCTCAATCAAAGTTGAGTTTATGTGTGTTTGTTTTTTTCAATGACCTCTTGTGATAAAAAAAAGCCTTTCAAGTTTAGTATTGTGGTTATGGTACTCTGTTTATGTGTGGATAGGGACCTAAAATTCTGGCTTCAGATTTTTATTTTATAATTTAACAACCATCATAACTTTTAACAACCATCTAGCTATTTTGTACAAATAGCTATGGGTCTATGGATAACTCATGCTCCTAGTTTGTGGAATCAGTGAGAGGGGTGGTAGGTGTAATTTTTATCATTTTCCACTGTTTGCTTCCTCTTGTGTAATTAAAAATGGAAAACTTTCAGTTTCTGATTTGGATTAACAATTACCAAAGTTTGCGTCAGCATGTGATGTTACTGCACGTTGTTTGTGATATCCCAAATACATTGTGCTACATCTCCATAGAGAAATTTTATGCGTTGTGTTTACTCTTTGTTGTCTTTAGCACTGTGCTGTGTCTAAACTGTATGAAGATTTGTCCCTATTGTCCCGTGAAGTCAAATGGAAGCAAGAATGCCACCTGTTTCTTCTGTATGCACCCTCGAGTTAGTTCCATGTTATTTCACTTGATCAGCGTTAAAAGATATGGTCATTTTAATAGAAATTGTCTGTTTCCTTGCTAATGTCCTACTCGTTTGTTTGGAGGTGTGTGAATTTTTAAATACACAATAGGTATTATTTGATCATGTGGATATTTCAAATTACTGCTGATTTCCCGTAAAGTCATTTGATTAGCTGTGAAAAATGAATATCAAAGTTATTGCTTCTTTTGTCCAATTCGTTTAATGTTGAATTCTGGCATTGCTCTTAGCTGAACTCTGGCATTGCTCTTGGTTGAACGCCCTTTGGTCTCTGGCATTGCTCTTAGTTGAACGCCCTTTGGTCCAATTTTGGTGTTGGATGTTGTAACTATTCTGTTTGTTCTCTTTCAGGCCGCCCACGAATGACCCGACCTAGAAAATGAGGTTCATATCAGCTATGTTTATGTTGTCTTCCGGCAAGAAGTTGATAGTAATATATTTGGTTGATACTGTATTATGTTACATTTGATGCATCAAATGTGCTTTGTGAACTACAAGGACGTATGTTCAACTAGGAACTGATAAACTGAAGGGATGACACGTTCAACTCGTAACTGATAAACTGTGATCGTTCCAGTGAAGTTTTTGTTTTTGGTTTTTTTCTCAAGTTGTACTATTTTATTCTATAACACGTTTTTTAAATTAAAAAAAAAAAAAAAAAAAATGTGCATGTCAAGTGACACAAAGGGGTGGCAATTTCTGATACGATCCATTACATGATTCGAAATCCGCACAATAAAAACTCTGGTAATTTTCGGGTCAACTTGTTATGACTTGTATAATAAACAAGTCGTGTCAACCCATGTAATACTTGCCAATCCGCTAAAAAATAAAAGGAAATCAAGACTAAAGAGCGCACACAAAGGATTTTAAATCTCTGCCATTCTCATTCCTTTCCAACACTTTATCCGCTGTGCTACAAATAATTTTGAGATTATATCTGACACCATTTGAAATTTATAATGTTTTCACAAGTTGTTTTCCAAAGAAGTAAATTTTTTTTTTGGGGTCTAGACAAAGAAGTAGAATTTCACATGTATATAATTTGATATTTATATTTATAACAATATATGCATAACTATTTTAGTTATTTCACATGTTTCTTTGCGCATCACGATCAATTTTCACATTATTGTGATCATGGGAAAATTCTTTGCTTTTTCCAATCAACAAAAAAAATAAAAAAAAATGCTCATGTCTAATTTTATTTTATTTTTTCTCTTAAGTTCTCATATCAACATCATCAATCCCACTCTCTCTCTTTGGTTTCTCCTACTAAAAAAACAATTGACGGAGTTGTTCAAAACCGAATTCCACTGGTTACAGTTGCTACCACTTATTATTAAACAGGTTATTAACCAGGTAACCTGTTTAATAATCTGTTTAAGACGACCCGAATTCTACCTGACACGTTTATTAAATGGGTTTAGTTTGAGTTGAGTATTCTTGGCACGTTTATTATCCTGACATGACACTAACCTGACACGACACAACTCATTACTAACTCTAGCCACGATGATTGGGAAACAAAAACTACAGACAAAAACTTGGTCTATTATGCATTTTCCTTTTTTTGGGGTGTAAATTATTGACTACAAACAATAGTTCCAAAAACAGTTTTTTCCTATTCACGATTGGGTCCATTCCCCTTTGGATTTTGGCTGTCCTCGTCATCAGACCCCCCAAAAAAAAAAAAAAAAATCATCAGATTCTTATTTGTCTATAAGAATCTCATCGTTGGAGGGTGAAGTGTCGCATCAGGTGGCCACATGGAAGCTTGGTGGACGAACTTAATGAAATGTCCCAATCAAGTTGCTCAACAGCTTCATCTTAAGCTTCATTGTTATTAGGGTTAATTTCAATTTAGTACCCTTAATTTTTATCATTGAGGTATGTTTGTCCCTACATTTCCAATTTTAACAATTACATACCCTAAGTTTTTCAATTTTTTACAATTTAGTTCCAACGTTAGCCTTACCGTTAAAATTTCCGTTAATTGTTGAGGTGGCATATGTGGGAGCCAACTTCTTAAACTTAAATTGCTTAAAATATAAATAAAACATCAAAATTTCTTAAACTTAAATTGAAATTAACCTTTGTTTTTAATGACCTGGTCAAAAAGATGCTGTTTTGAGCTAGGTCTTTATTTTTAAAATAAAAAAAGATTTTTTTTTCTCATCCCTCACGCCACCAGCCAGCCAGACAGAGAATCCCCCTAAAAATCCCTTGAATCTATAAAGAATCCATACTGCTATCAGGAATGAATCTGAAATGAAAAAGACTTTTTGGTTTTTTTTGTGCAGGAATGAAAAAGACTTAACTTTAAAGAATTCACACCCTTATTCGTTCTTTAAGGTGCCAATAAATTAACCTAACATATCCAAAGCCTACACAGAAAATAATCCTCAAAGAATTCCACGAAGAAAATCAACCTTCAGACTCAGAAACCCAATACCAAAGCTATCAAACTAACCTATAGCTGAATTTGTACCAAAATCAGAATATTCGAATCTGAAAAAATTAATAAAAAAAAAAAAAAAAGAAAATATAAAAAAAAAAATAACCCCAAAAAAAAAAAAAAAAAAAAAAAAAAAAAAAAAATACATAATAATTGTGGTTGTGGGTGGGGATATGATTTCTCACTGTGGTTGTCTAACTGTGGCTCTGTTTTGGTCAATTCTGTCTAATCGAAGTGACAGAGATTATATTTCCAACAAAGCTGTGATGATGGAGTGGCTAGTGGAGTGGAGTGTGTTCGATTTGGTTCAAATGGACGGTTTGATTTGATCTGTTTTGCAATATTTTCTTATGTTCATTTAATTATTGTCCCAATTAGTGTTCCAGTTTTTCAAATTTCCATTTACGTATACGCTTTGAATTCTAATTCATGAACGTTCAAAATCACTTGAAGGAGACATGATGGCGATGTGCAGCAGGATTGTTGCTTCACTCTCCTTCCAAGCTCATAGGGAGGAAGTTTTTACCCACAATCTTAAACTTCGTTATTGTATTTGATAATGAAAAAGTCATGATGATATCATTTTTTTTCTCATCACTTTAACCTAATGTGCACTCTCACCACCATTCTCAACATTTCACACGTGTTTATTGATATAATCATTGTTCCATAAGTACGTACGCACTCCCTCTATATAAACCCAAGCAATGTGTGGCAGGGAGAGAGCCACCAACCAAAAACCCTCCAAGCCTTTCTTTCTTTTTCATAGTCACTTATGGCAGTGCATTTAGGCTCTTTGGTCTTATCTCTGGTGCTACTCGTTGGCTTTGCATTTACAAATAACAAAGCTGCTAATACAGATGATCTACCCATTCATTGTGACTCTCTCAATAGGAGCAGTTTCGATGCTCTCCAACCAGGGTTCATATTTGGCACAACCTCGGCAGCTTACCAGGTCAGTTCCTTCTTGGGCCTTAATTAATAATTACCCTTTAATTGGTGTTTTATATATAACTACTTGGGTTTAATTTCAGTTTAATGTCAGATCAATTAGCTTCCAGGGCTATTCATTTTATTAGTTCTTGAAGTTGAAGGACGACATGAATGATTTTGGAAATTGAGAGACTCAAATGCAAATCGGGTCTAAGTTCAGGGACCAATAAAACGAATAACCCTAGCTTCCACATGCATGCATGAATATTTACATCTTAATTCTGTATTTACTATGCATGTCCATTTCAGTACGAAGGTGCCGTAAAAGAAGGCGGTAGAGGACCAAGTATATGGGATACCTACACCCACAACCATTCAGGTCTGTCTAATCAAACAAAGAATTAGTCAAAAATAAGATGACTTCAAAAAGTCTTGGTGCGTTGAGTTCAATATATCGTGCACGTAATTGAGTCATGAATTGGTAAAAAACTTTATCGTATATACATCGTAGTGTGCTTGAAATAATTGTTTGGATCTCTATGATTTAAATAATTAATTTTTTCAATGTAAAAATACAGAAAGGATCGTGGATGGCAGTAATGGAGATGTCACTGTTGATCAATATCACCGCTATAAGGTTATAATTTTATCTCTGGACCTTCTTTACTTGAAGTGGAACATACTCAGTTTTGGATCCTTAAGAAAACATATGACATTGAAGATGAGATCTTTGACTTGTAGCTTATTTCTTATATAGGAAGATGTGGTGATTATGAAGAATACGGGATTGGATGCTTATAGGTTTTCTATCTCATGGTCCAATTTATTACCAAGTAGGTTGATTCATCCTCAATATTATACATAACAATTCTTTTTTTGCTACAACAGTTGCTCCCTTTATTTTGTTTGATCACTGAAATAACTTAACCGAATTAAATTAGCTATAGTAAGGCCATGAATATACAGTTTAACAATTTTACTGTTTGTAGATTGGGTTTCCTTATTTGTTGTATTTTTGTTTTTATTATTAGATGGAAAGCTAAGTGGAGGCGTGAATGAGGATGGAATCAAATATTACAACAATCTCATCAATGAACTCCTACTTGAAGGCGAGTCATCTCACCTTACATGATTAATGATTGATACTTCAACCCCTTAAAACATCATTTAGTCAAAGTTTTAATTGGCTTTATTCATGATATATATATATATATACAGGTCTAAAACCATTTGTGACAATCTTTCATTGGGATCTTCCACAAGCTTTAGAGGACGAATATGGTGGTTTCTTAAGCCCTAATATTGTGTGAGTGAACAAATTCTATCCTCAGTATATAATATTGATTATTTAATTAAATACATATTACAATAACATCTACATACCATATACAGCGATCATTTTAGAGACTATGCAGAACTGTGTTTTAAGGAATTTGGTGATCGAGTAAAATACTGGATCACGGTGAATGAGCCATATACCGTTAGTCACCATGGTTATGCAATCGGGTGCCACGCACCAGGACGATGCTCTGCTTGGCAAAACCTAAATTGCACTGGTGGAAATTCGGCTACTGAACCATATTTGGTGACACACCATCAACTCCTTGCTCATGCAGCCGTTGTAAGATTGTATAAAGATGAATATCAGGTCCAATTAAATCTTTTATTTATTTTTGAATATTGCGGTCCTAATTGAAAATATTTCTCACTCTAAATCATTTCAAAAATTATTGAATTTTCTTGCATAGGCAGTTCAAAATGGCTCGATAGGAATAACATTGGCTTCACACTGGTTTGAGCCTGCTTCAGAGGCAACAAAAGATATAAATGCTGCATTTCGATCTTTGGATTTTATGTTTGGATGGCAAGTATAATGTTAATTTATATATCTACTAAATTAAATGTTTTATTTATGAATTTATGTATTGTGTAGGTGTATGGACCCATTGTCCACTGGTGACTATCCGCACAGCATGCGGTCACTTGTTGGAGAACGATTACCAAAATTCACAGAAGAACAATCCAAGTTGCTAAATGGGTCATTTGATTTTATTGGAATAAATTACTACACTGCTAGATATTCAAGTGATGCATCTGATATTATTTATGTACATACAAGCTACTTAACAGATCCTCACGTTAATGTTACAAGTGAGTTCAAATTGAATACTTACCTTGAGCAATGAATTAAATTCTTAGAATAATTAGATTCTAATATTCATATGCATATGTGTTTTGACAGCTGAGCTTAATGGGGTTCCTATTGGTCCAAAGGTGCACATCAAATTATTAGCTTAAACTATTAGTATTTGGAGGATTAGTATTTTTTTTTTCACATACAAATTACTCCTAAAATGTCAATTATCTTCAAATTGGATTGCAGACTTCAGATTGGTTATATGTTTATCCAAAAGGAATTCACGATCTTATACTCTACATAAAAGAGAAGTATAATGATCCAATCATTTACGTTACTGAGAATGGTAATTAATAATTTTAAGTCATTATTAATTGCATCATTAATGTTTCACATTTATATGATGGTGTGAAATAAAGTGAAGTGTTATAACATCTAAATTTAAAATTCAATGCATATGATAATGCATTATATTGTAGGAGTTGATGAGTTCAATGATCCCAGAGTATCACTTCAAGAAGCTCTTAATGATACCAATAGAATTGACTACTACTATCGTCACCTTTGTTACCTACAAGCATCCATTAAGTAAGTGTCTGTTTAAGAAATTTTTCAAGGCCATCTAAGGTATAGTCGTCTTAGATTTTCGTTATTTAAACATTACATTGACATCAATACATTTGATTTTTTGTTTGTATGCAGAAATGGTGCTAAAGTGAAAGGATATTTTGCATGGTCATTATTGGACAATTTTGAATGGAATTATGGATACACTGTTCGGTTTGGTATCATCTATGTGGATTTTAAAGATAATCTAAAAAGATATTCAAAACTCTCGACGTATTGGTTCAAAAGATTCCTCAAGAAGCAAGAAAAAAGTATGAAAGAGATACAAATATTTGTGGACGATAATGGTGGGACCTCAAATGTTTGAATTCCAAATGATGAATAAAGTATGACAACTCCCCCAAGTCGTAGTGCGCAAGTTGTCTTTTAAGTTTTCAGCTTTTTTTAGATCAATTCTTGTGCGAGTTAGTTCCCTCTCTTTGTGAGAGAGAGTTTAGGGGGTGTATTGAATTAGGATTATATACGATTTTGAAAGATTTTTTTTAAATGATTGATTTCTTAGAATTGTATAATTCCTATAGGTTTTATCCAGATTTTTAATAAACTTGTATAGACTTCTATTATAGCTTTCATACTTTTGTAGGAATTTTTGTTATAGATTCATATATATTTGCATAGACTTTAGTCACTCTTTTTTCCCAACACTATTTTCTTTTATTTTGCCAAACGATGGAAGAATTTCCATCTTTCCTCATATCCTTGTCTTATGGAATAACTAATAATATATATATATATATATATATATATGGGGGTGGATCCGTGACACTATATTTTTGACACAAGTTTTGACACAAGGTTTAAACCCTTGGATTAGCCCACTATCAATGGATGTGATTAAACAAATTAATTATTTTATTCTTTAAATAAGCAATTATAGAAAATAAATTTTAATTGACTTTTTTATTTCCTCACTCTTCATTTAATTAAGTTTTGATGGCTTATTGACACAAGGCACTTCTTCTTCTTCTCTTCTTCGTGCCTTCTCATTAACACCACCTCCCTTCTTCTTCTTGCTTTTTTCAATAACCCTGAAATCACAAACTAGCCATCCAATTTCAGCAAATCATTCCATCTAAATCACAACTAGCAATTAATCCTTAGAGTTAAGATTTATAATGATAAATCATTGTTTTAATAATCTATACAGCAAGTTGCACAATAGATCACATTAATCTAGCCAATTTGTGGGCGTTGGAGAGAAACTGGGTTTTTATTTTTGTTCAATCAAAATTACTTCAAAGTTAGGGAAGTAACGCGCGTTAGTTTTCATTCTCCTTATTTCATATTTTGCTCTTGCCCTTTGTCCCTCTGAATCTCTGTGTCTCTCTCTTCTTCTCCATTCATTCATCTCCCCTCTACATCTTACACTTTCCCACCAATAATTATTAGAAAAAACAGAGAGAGAGAGAGAGAGAGAGAGTTAGACCAACCAAACTGTAGAGAAGAAATATTGCAACAAATCTGGGCTTTTCTTTTAAATATTAAAATCCTATCTTCTCTTCAATATTGGTAGCTTGAGACAGATTTTCTATGTCGTGGGAGAATGCTCGGTTGGTGTTGATGAAAATGGTAAGGGGAAGGTAATGGTGAGGTTTCGCAAGATATTAATTGAGAAGAGAGAAAATGATAAGAAAACAAAAGGGGGAAAGATAATGAGTGATTTTCGGGATTATCATAACTAATAAATAAAAATGAAATTTACTTGGCATTAGAGATTTAATATAATTTAAGTAATTAATGAAACATAATCTCAACCATTCAATCCTTTCTAATCTAATGGTTGAAAATTTGTGTCAAAACTTGTGTAAAAAATGTAGTGCCACGGATCCGCCCCCTATATATATACATGGAGTTTCAGTTGAAGGATCCTTCAAATAAGCTTATTTGAAGGACACCCTTGTAGGGCCCACTCCGTATTGTATTTCACTAATCCAAACCGTCTATTTTGTAGATACTCATTCAAAGATCATCTCTGCAAAAAAAAAACACTTAAATCCGATATCATTTGACTACTCAATTGAATTATTGAAATTTTAGTATTTTCTTGAAGCATCGTGTTCATTGATTTTGTTGGACACAATTGGTTATCGAAACGATTTCCGATTTGTCTAATTTTTTGCAAGGATGATCTATGAATGAAGATCTCAAAAATAGATGGTTTGGATCGTTGAAAAAAAATTCGTAGGATACCCTAAAGAGTGTCCCTCAATAGAAGGGGATATATTTGCTTTTCAATGGAGATATACGAGTATCCCTCTAGATGGAAGAAGATTTTCTTTGATAAATAACATATATGACAAAAAAAGAAATTATTTTGCTTTCAAAGACACCCACACAAATTCACGAAAAGCAAAAATTATAAGAAATTCAAAGTGATTGATGTTCACGAAAGTGTAGTGACAAATGTATAACAAGTCTGAAAGCAATGCTGAACGGAAAATATGCAACATTCATTCATTATTTTTAATTCTCATTGTTCCCCATTGTGTCCAACATCTCTCCACATATTCAAAGCTATACCAACTCTCTATGCATTAGCATGTGCTCGTTGTTGTTCTTTTGTTTAGAAAACTAGTTCAGTGTTGTTCTTTTGTTTAGAAAACTAGTTCAGGATTCCCTTCATTAATCGGTAATGATGAAGATGAAGAAGATTCGTTCTCCAATTCAATAGGAAAGTCAATCTCTTGCCTTTCAATTTGTTCTTTTTCCATTATATAAATGGAAATTCGACCACCTGAAAAAAATTATATGAAATCCAATCTTATAATTCTGAATTTCTTTTGGGTTCATGCCGAACTCAAGACATGGACTCAAAAGACCAAGAGCAGCGAACAAGACCCAATTCTCTTCGTTTTAATTTCCTTTTATGTTGTTGTTGCTTGGTTTATATAGTCTGTTGACTTGATGAGGAAAAGGTATTTTGGCCTTTTGTGGCTTTGTCTACATGTTGATGTACCTCACTTTCAGGCACGGACTGAGCCCTGTCTAGGTAGGGCTGGAGCTTGACCCAATTTTTTTGAAAGTTTCCCCTACCTATATATCCCAGCTAGCCCAGTCTTAAATTTTTTTTTTAGTTGCAGAGGCAACTGCAGGAAGATGATGCGAAGAAGATGAGTTCAGCAAACAAGAAACGGTAAACATTAACACAGGTCCCACTAAACAATAACAATTAGACAGGTCCCACTAAATAGGGATAATTCTTTGGTCAAATCAGGGGAGCCCCACACATTTTCTTTCACGCATTAATTTTTATTTTTTATTGTTCTGTGGGAATCTATCTATCGTATCAACCCGATCTTGTAACTTCACCTTTAGTACTTCTATTTTCTTCAATTTATCTTTGTGTTGGGGGAAAACAAAGAGAATTGAGAGATTTCAGGATTTAACTAGTACCCAGTACATATGATATATTTAAGGACTAACGACAGTTTACCACTTCGAGGTTTAAGTGATGTATTGAAATAGGCTATGAGGTTTTAATTTTATCAATTCATACCCAACATTTTTAAATTTCACCAAATTACGCCATAGTCAACTTCACTGTTAGATTTGATGCTGATGTGTGAAAAAAATAATGAAAAATATTATGAAATTTATTTTATTTAAAAAATCCCCACTCTCTCTCTCTCTCTTCCCCCCACCCCAAGACACCCACAATAGACCTGCCCCATCCTCCGACCATCTTCTCAGATACAAAATAACCCCAAACAACCAACTGGTCTCGTCTACGACATATGCCTAACCACCAACTCATGCAAAATGAGTATAGCCGCCTGGCTTTACTGGGGTCTTTATTTTATATTTTATATTTTATATTTTATATAAATAGTATAGCTGACACTGTGATTTTTTTTTTGGTTAAATTGTTTTTCCTCGATTTTTGTTTATGGATTAGAGTAGTTTAAGCATTATCCACTACTATTAGGCCATCACGCGAGTCTCTATTGTCTCCTTTTGAGTTTTTCACTTTTACAGACTTATTATCAGTATAAATAAATTGGCATTTTCACATTTAATACTTGTATTGTACACGTATGTACATATTTTTCATGTTTAATACACTTTTTTTTTACAAAAATTTTAATAATACATACAAAATTTACTTATTATATACATAATTTTAGCATATTATTGAATAAAAATAATATATATTAAAAAAAGTAAATAAATCATATTAAAATATTATCCAGATGCTTTGAATGCTTGTCCCATAAGTTCTGTCTTTTAAAAGTTTAATTTCAGGCTGACAGGGCTCTTGTTGTGAGAAGGGAGAAGGAGTTAAATGTCAATGTAGAGTCAGCATATGCAATTAGGAATTCGATTGACAATACTGATTCTAGGATTGAAAAACTAGAACTTCAGCTGCAGAAGTGTATAATTGAAAAAAAATGACTTTGAGATAAACATGGAAGAAGCAGTACAGGATTCAGGTGAAAATTACATCAGTTTGATGTTTATGGATATAATTGTGAGTTTACCCAAGCTTCTGGTAATTAAGATGTTCTGTGCTGCAGGAAGAAAGGACATTATAGCCGAGTTTCGTGTGATGGCCTCATCTTTGTCAAAAGAAATGGGAATGATGGAAGCTCAGTTGAAGCGGTGGAAGGAAACAGCTAATGAAACACTTTCTTTCCGCGTATAGCCGGGCGGCTATACTAGGATTTTTTAATTATTTAAAAATCATATAGCCGCTCGGCTATATTGTAATGGTACAAAATAGTATAGCCGTGCGGCTATATTACGTTTTACACGTGGCGAAGCGAGCGCTAGGCGCAAGCGGTTCCTTTTAAATAAAAATAATAATAAAAGGTGTATAGCCGCCCGGCTATACTACGGTTTTATTATTTAAAAATTGTATAGCCGGTTTGACACGTGGCACTGAATCGCTCTAACGAAAGGAGTATAGCCGCCGGGCTTTACGAGGTTCCCTTTTTAATATTTTTGTATAAATAGTATAGCCGCGCGGCTATACTACACGCGGGGCGGGGCCGTATCTCTAGGCGGGCGCTAGGCGGGTCCTTTTTTTATAAGTAAATATAAATAGTATAGCCGCACGGCTATACTGGGAATTTTTTATATTAAAAAAGCAGTATAGCCATCCGGCTTTACAGGGGTCTTCCTTTTTTATTTTTATTTTTTATTTATATATATATTTTTAAACTTTATAAATAGAGTATAAAAAAAATTAACATCTACAAAAATATCGAAGGAGCCTTTTCTGTTCTATTTCTGATTTTCTAAAAAAACAACTGTGGCATTCCAAACCATCTTTGTTTTTCTTTAGCTTCCTCTTAAAATTAAAATTTACGCACGATAAGGATATATAGCAAATTCCTTCAAATTCTGAGCACATTGGAAGATATACTTTGCTAACACAACTCCATTCAAGTCATAATTGTAACACCCTATGGTAAGCTTCTTAAGCTGATAAAAATCAAGGTTTTGCATCGTCCAATATTCCATGTCAAACACAGATGTCTGCAAAGGAAAGAAGACAAGCAACAAATCAGTTGGGGTTTTCCCAAAAAAAAAAAAAAAAAAAACCAAAACCAAAACCAAATATAAAGAACTGCATTATTGGAACAGCATGATCAAAATGCTCATGATTCTAGAAAAGATTATACATACATACATTCAGGGTCAGGAAAATTATGATGAATATGATCAGGAAGAAAGTAATAACACAGACATTAACTTACATTAAGATTCAGGGTCATTCAGAGGTAGTTTAGTCTTAATGTATAAAGCACGCAGATTGGGTATTTCTCTAAAACGACAGACCATAGCTAGGACTAACTCATCATTAAAACTTTCAATCTTCAAACCTGGATAATGAACATTCTCCAATGGTGCTGGCATGGCTCCTTCCCGAAACAGAGCCTGCAGTGTTACAAATCATGTTTCGTCAACAGAACATAGCATAAATATCATTCTTGTTAGTGTGACCTTATTAATGTAAAAGCAACGCCATAACTCAAGCTTACAACAATACTGCTACATGAGAAAAATATTAGCTAACCCAATCATCTCATACCATGGAGAAACAAGAAAAATTAATACTCTCCTTACCTTAATGGTCGCTTCATTTAGAAAAAGATCTTCAACCATAGATAAACGGGAAAGCACCTCAAATACGCCGCCAAAGATGTCTACTTTCGGCTCCAGATGAATTATAGCTCCTTGTAAGGATTCTAATTTTCCCAGATGGGCCAGTTGGGTTTTTGGTGTGGTCCTGCTTGGTTCTAGGTGATGGGCCAGTTGGCTTTGACCCATCAAAACATGATTTTGGGTCAGGCCATGTACCATGGGCTGGTACCTGGTAGTGAGCCAGTCAGTCAATCAGTTTCTTTTGAAAATTTAATTATAATAATGTTTGTTTTATTCATGTTTTAACTTAAAAATCATGGTCCATCAAATGACACATTTAATCTTTATTCTACCATTTGATTGATCTAATACATCATCTAATTAATCTCTGTTACACCATTTCATTGAAGTAAACCATAGAAAAATTGTTACTAATTAGTCCACTCTCAAGATTAGTATGTGTCTATTGAGTTCAATCTTGATTAGTATGTGTCTAATTGGGATAATCAATTGCAAGAATACAAAACTAAAGATAATAATACAATTGGATGACAGATTAAGTATAATGAGACTCGACCTCCAGAGAATACAATTAGGCACAACATTGAATGGACTCGAAATTAGATTTCGATTATCTAATTTAACTTAATAATCTTGGTTCATCGAGTGGCACATTTAATTTTCATTCTACCATTTGATTGATCGAATGCACCACCTAATTAAATCTTTGTTACCATTTGATTGATGGAATACACCATTTCTGTTATTCTCTGTTTTTTTTCTTCTAGCTATTTGTGCATAGTTCACACAGCAAGCTATGCTTATTGTGTTTTTGTTTAGTTCCCCTGGGTTGATTCTTTGGCTTCCCTGTGGGTAGATGTCCCCGGTTGTCTTCTTGTGTTTGTGAGGCTTTTGCCTTTTTCTAAACTGAAACTTCCAGACCCCAAAAAAAAAAAAAAAAAAAAAAAAAAAAAAAAAAAAAAAAAAACCTCAATTTACGGTCTCTTGTTAGAAAAATTGTAAATTATTTATGTACAAGATTAGTATATGCAATTAATTAGCATGGGAATTTTTGCATCTGTATTCCACGACACTTCTTAAGAAAAGTTCCTGAAATCAGTCGGAATAGGATGAAAGAGACAACAGTGACATTAAAATGGCAGGGGATGCTGCACAACAGATACTACAATATCATATTGAAAAGTCAAAACTTTTATGAAATTAAATAGTTCATATTAAAAAGAAATGCTAAAACATTGAAGACCAATTTCATGCTCTTTACCGCTATGGATACTTGGCCTAAGAATTTTGACACTCTGAACACGAGAGAGTAACTGATGAAACGAGCTGACGAAGTCGTGTATTCCATGAGGCCTGAGAGAAATACCAACTTCTTCCAAACAATTCAATTCCGCCAGCTTCGGATGATTCATCACAAGCCCAACCCATTTGAGATACTTCAGATTTGGAGCAGAAATTTCCAACCAAGTGCTATCAGGTATCTGATATCTTCTTAAGTCCCAATCTATATCTTTTATTTATTTATCGGGAAAAGAGCTTCTCATTACAATAACGTGAGAAACCATGCAAACAGATACAATCCATACCAAACTCACATCATTACATAGGTAAAAAACCTCAAGAAAGCATTGCAGCTTCCCAGAGAATAATAATGCAAGTATAAATTCCTACAAGCGTTTACGGTGGCACGGGGAGACCATCCCTTGAAAAAATGCACACCAGCGAGGGACGGGATCCACAGACCCAAACTTGATGGCACACCCTCGCGTTGGCTAAACTAGCAGCAACATGTGCTGGTCCCAATCTATGTCTATATCTTCAAGTTTCTCACCAGAGGTTTTAACAGTAACTCCGAAGCCTACATGATTCCAAAGACGAGCTCTGAATGTTGATATTTTTTAAGCCCCTCACACATTCAAGCCTCAATTCCTTAATGAATCTGCAGTAGAACGAGACCCATCTGCAAAAGCCCTCCTCATCTTCAACAGTAACATTTCTCAACCTCAAAAACACAAGATTAGAGATAGAACAGGTAGAAAAGATGAGAGCTTTAAGAGTTGCACTGCTCACGGTTGCAGATGATGGAGACCTCAGAGACCCACAAACAAACACACAAGCAGGAAAATCTACATTGCACTTGCACTGATTTGGAACGGAAACATCGAGCCTTTCAACATTATAATTCACTGCTTTCTCAGACCAATCCATAACTAGAGATTTCTCAACACAGCCGCGACTTTCTGTTTCAGAAGAGTCCCCTGAATGGCACTTACAATACCAACTAAGAGAAAAAGCTTTGTACTTTGTTTTGGCCACGACGAGTGAAGAACCGGTCCAAGGATAAATTTCGTCCATAAATTTACTAACACTTAATCTACCCTCCATAAAATAAATTTTGTCCTAGAAATTTACTAGCACTTAATCAAGAAAATCTACTCTAAAAAGTTATGCCCCTAACTCATTCTATCAATTCAAACTTATGTTGTACTAATACTAGACCACAGTTCCCAAGGGTGTCTAATCCCTATTAGTGAGATTTATAATGTATAATTTACGAGAATTGATTTAATATTGTGAAATTCTGTATTTTTAAATATGTATTAATATTTCATAAAATTAAATATTTATAGTTATTAGTTTGCAAACTATACAATTGATAATATATATATATATATATATTTGTTGTATGGCAAGCCACGTGACTCTAGCTATTAGCTAGTATAGCCTACCTCATCAAATATTATTGCATGGCTTTCACTATATTAATTCATTTCAGCCTTATTTAATATTTATTATATATTTATACACTTTACAAAAGCATTAGAAAGGCCCTTATACTTACTAAACATAATGTACAAAGTTAACGTGTTGCAAGTATATAGTTCTCAAATCTTGTTAAAGCATGAGGTGTAAGCATTGTATGTGTTCTTATTTATAGCCTTAATTTGAGAGTGCTCACTAAGCACCCTACAAAGCCAATATATGGGGCTATTCAGGGTGGCGACATACTACTTTCAAGCCACCCAAGTACTCTAGTAAAACATAGACTAGTTGTGTGGCTCAATTTTAGCTTCCATCTATTTGGACTTTGCTGACTTTGATTCCCTATAAATAGCATTCCTTTGTATTTCTTGTATCATAGTAGTTCGTTTAATTGCTTTTGTTTACAAAATTTCATAAAGAAAGGAAAAGTCAGAAAAAGAAAGTTTTGGTAGACTTTGGTTGAACTCAAGGTGTTTGGGCTTGTGACTCAAAATTATATGATAGCTTTGGAATTGAGTTAGGGGGTTTCTTGGAGAACCTTTATAGAGATTGGTTTAATTAAATTTCGTGAACACTATATTATGCATGTTAATATTATTTGATTGTTATTGTTATTGAGTGTTTAAGTGTTGTTAATTATCATTATATTATTTTATTAATATTGACATGATCATATGTTATCGGTGATGGCTGAAATTCTTGGGTTGATAAAGAAAGTATGGAAAAGAGGGTGATGGGAAGGATCTTTTATGTAGTTGAGTACGACCATTATAGAGACTAAGTTCAGGCGAGCCCGTGTGCACAGTAGAATAGGATATTGGCGGTATAATTGTCGATTGGGTGATTTGGGCTTGGAGATCAATGGTTTAGACAAGATGACTAGCAAAAGGAAAATTATGGGATGATTGAGATGGGTGTTAGTTTATATACTAGGGCATTCACAATCACAGTGGTAAAATGCATGGTATGGGACATGCAGATTTACTTGCCTAGTTAAATAGATTAACGGGTTGGGTAGAATCGAAGCTCGTTCATGCATTATTATTTGTTATACGTTATATAATTGCATGTCACTTAATTTAGTTATATCAATCTACTGTGGTAAGGTCTTATGTCCCTACTGAGTGGTTGTTGCTCATTCCTCACCTTGTTTAATTTTTCAAATGAATTAGTAGAGTTTTATTTATTAATTATAAAGTTGTAAGATTTTTGGAGCTAATTTTTATAATTTTATTTTAAACCCTTGTTTCAATTTTTTTTTTTTTTTTTTTTTTTTTTTTTTGACCTTACGTGGGATTTCCACTGACCCCCGAATCTGGGGCGTGACATGCCAGGACCCAGCAGTCATCGCCCGCTCATGCTCCTTCCACCTTAGTTGGTCCTGGTTTTTTTGTTTTTGTTTTTAAACGAAGCGATATCGTTGAAACAAAAACTCAGTGCAATAAATCTTCCACCAAAGCATCCATACATCTTCCACAATGCATTTTAGGATAATTGAAGACTGCAATTCGCCCCTGCTATGGTGGCCAACAAAGTGGCCCAACTAAATTATATACTGGCACAATTGTCTGTCTGAAGCATCCAATTGGTTGCAGATTTCACCATCTTCAGAAAGGGGATTGGCTAGTGATCCAGTAAATACTAGCAGATATTGAAAAGAAAGCATGGAGTGCCGCACCAAGTAAGAAAAGAAGAAGTGGTGACGACATTTAAAAATAAAACAAAAGAAAGAGGAGCCGCCAGACCAAAGAAGAAATAGCAACTGGAATCAAGGTGGCATTGAGTAAAACATGGAAATTTTGCAAATTAAAAAAAACGGCTAAACTATACTGGCGTTACATTTTCATTCTTGAACTCCAAAAATAGTTATTGTCATCCTCAAATTAGGTCACGTGTTGCACCATTGGCCATTTTCATCAACTCCGTCAACTTTTTCATTAATTTCATAAATAAATTCGGAAATTCACTCCAAAATGTTTAGGAAAAAAATAAACTAATAAATATTATTCAAAATAATAATTAAATATTAAAAAAGACCACCGATTGATTGGCTCTTCTCCCTGCACCAACCCAGCCCTTGCACCTTTGCTAGCCCACAATTCTAATCCATGGGGGAGGACGACTGAGGTGGAGGGAAGACGCGGAATTGTTGATATTATGACTCAGGAGAGAGAGAGAGAGAGAGAGAGAGAGAGAGAGAGAGAGGCAGTGGTGGTGGTCGATGGTGGTTTGGCAAT